CCTGGGGCAGGCCTGTGTCTCCTCCCTCAGACTAGCTCCTGGGGCAGGCCTGTGTCTCCTCTCTCAGACTAACTGCTGGGGCAGGCCTGTGTCTCCTCCCTCAGACTAGCTCCTGGGGCAGGCCTGTGTCTCCTCCCTCAGACTAGCTCCTGGGGCAGGCCTGTGTCTCCTCCCTCAGACTAGCTCCTGGGGCAGGCCTGTGTCTCCTCCCTCAGACTAGCTCCTGGGGCAGGCCTGTGTCTCCTCCCTCAGACTAGCTCCTGGGGCAGGCCTGTGTCTCCTCCCTGAAATGAGCTCCCGGGGCAGGTCTATGTCCTGCCCCTTGGACTGGAGCTCCTAGGTAGAGCTGTGTCTCCTCTCAGCCCAACCTGCAGCCCGTGGAGCCTGAGGGTCCTACCCGTTGGAGTAGAACATGACATCCATGAGGAGTGTGGCAACAGCAGGCAGCGTGTCAGGGTCCAGGCTGGTGACACAGAACCTGTTGCTCGGGCTGGACAGCGGGTGGATGACTGGTCTCTGGACTGTCAAGAGCACAAAGACATCGGGTGCTAAGGCCAGGATGAAGATGAGTAGCGTGGGTGGGAGGAGGGCCCAGGAGGAGGGCTGGGGTTGGCCGGCAGCTGCTCTGGGGAGCACCTAGTGAGACTCGGCCCCTGTAGCTTCCCCAGCCTCCACCACCGCCTGCAGCTCTCCCGATTCTCCAGGCTCATCTTCAGGACCCATGCTGTGCTGGCTGCCCAGAATGCCCTTCCCAACCATCAGCACCGCCTTAGCTCCTACTTGTGCTCCAAGCTTCAGATGGACAGTCTCTGCCTCCAGGAGGCTGCCCTGACACCTGGGCTGGGCAGGAGTGGCCTCTGGCCATTGCTGGCTGTATCCACATCTTCCACCCTTGCTAGACCTTGGCAGCAGAGTCTGACCGGAACTGTTGCCCCATGCTACACCTGGCACTCAATGAATGCTCAGTGAACAGAAGCCTGCACTCTGAAAATGGTGCTGGTCTGGGGCAGGGCCTGGTAACTTCTTGAGGTTTCCCTGCACAAACCCCCACCCCCAACTCACCCATTTTGGGCTTCACGAAGCCATTGGTGATGCCGAGGTTCTCGGCTGCCACTGTCTCACCATTGACGACCCGCAGGATAGTGAACTCTGATGACAAGGTGTGGGTGACAAAGGGCAGGTCCCGCTCTCGCACCTGGGGACGGGAAGTGGAGGCCGTGAGTGCCTGGTGGCCCCTGGACAGGGTGAGCCTGGGGCACCGATGCCTCCACTCTGAGGTTCTGCCCGCAGAACCAGTTCTCCCCAGGGGAGTGCATGAGGAGCAGGCGTGCGGGTGTGCGGTTTGGCCTATGGCCATGGTGGGATGTAGGGTGCGGCTCACCAGGATGAAGTCCGTCTGGTAGGTGGAGAGCATGAACACCGAGATGTTCTGGTCAGCCAGTGGGGCGATGACCGATTTGGCGATCTTGGTCACACCGATGGGCTGGGAGCTGGAGAAGCTGCCACCACCGGACACCACGTTCAGGGCCAGCCAGGTGGCATCTGCCACACTCAGGTGCTCTGAGGAGGGCAGCTCTGGAGGGAGGACACAGAAGGCAGGCCTGTGACTATCAGGAGCCTTGTGTCCCCCAGGCGTGGCAGGCCAGAGAGGCAGGGACTGAGGGCCTGGAGCTGGTTCTGCCATCCCAGAAGTGTTACGTGACCTGGGACAGCCCCACCCCCTCTGGGCCTCAGTTCCCTAATTTGTCAACAGGATGGGATTTGCCTCAAAGGTCCCTTTCTGGGAGGACCGAGCAGGGAAGGCCCTCAAATAACTTATGACATGCCAAGCAGCTCAGCTGGGCAGGAAACACGTGGACAAGTGGTTTATCTGTGCTGAGCCTCAGTTTCCTCAGCCTTTGTTATTTTTTAGTTCCCACAACCCTTCTGTCTGTCAGGTGCTGCCAACACCACCATTGTACCATCTGCAACCAGCCTCATGGTTTTCAAACTGGGTTCCCTCAGACCTCCCAAGGGGGCTCTGGGTGGAGGACAGGCCAGGAGAAAACCAGGTGCCGGCCCTGGAATTTCTCTGTCTTCTTCAGCCGGATCTGCACAATGGGCTTTTCTGGAACAACGTGCAGTTCCAGGAGGGCTCCTGAGGATGCTGCATTGTGGTGGGCAGTGATTGTCCCCCAATCCCCTCCAGAGAGCTTGGGAGTCGGCACTAGCATGGGCAGGGTGGGGAGGCTCAGAGCTGCAGCAGTCGCTGAGTCCCCTTGACTAGCTCCTGAAAACAGAATCCATCCCTTCTGCCCTGTCCTGCAGAGAGTACCCTAGGGAGCCCTGACGTGGGACGTGGATGCATACACGTGCATGCATCTTCACAGACATGGGCTGCAGCCCCAAACATAGCTGCACACAGGACTCTCCGTGCATTGCTGGACACTTGCTCAAACCTACCCATGCCAGGCCCAGAGTGGGGAAAGGGACCAGGTACAGGAGGTGGACTCTGGCACTGTGCATTCCACCAGGACCCTGCCCAGGAGGCGGGATCATTATTCCCACCACACACTCGACAGTGCAGGAGCCCTGAAAGCTCACTTAGCCAGGGAGTAACAGCCAGGATTCAAACTCAGGTCCAACTCAAAACCCCAGGCTCTGTCATGATCACCAGATGGGAAGAAGTGCCAAGTACCCCAAAAGACAGGAGCTAAGAAGTGAGGGGCAGAGACTGGCTACTTAAGGGGGCTATGATGATGAAGATAAGATGGTGGTGACAATAACGACCAAGGGCAGACCAGGTGGTCTGAGGGCTGTGCTGGCCTCAGGCAGGACGGCTTCCCGGGGAGGAACCTGAGTGCGGACCACCCAGCTCCCATCTGCCAGCTCTGGTTGCCATGGTGACCACAGCCTGGCGAGCCCATCGGTCCTGCTGGCTGAGGAGGGCCAGTGGTCGGCCAGCGTGGCTGCAGTCGCAGGTGGCTTCACAGACAAGGGAAAAGGTTTGGGAGGGAGAGCCTGGCCTCCAGGCTTCCACGTCTAGCCTCTCTCTGTTCTCCAGGGCATCAGAAACGAGCTTTCTCACACCCAAGATTAGCAGAGGAAATGTGCTCCCCAGAACCCTAAGGCTCAACTCAGTTCTGAAATTCTAAGGGGCCTGCGCCTGGCAAAAGCAGGTGCTTGGTGGGGCCATGTCCTGAGTCTCCACACTCGCCGTGTCTAGGCTGTACAAGCAGAGACAGACCCAGGAGTCACCGTGAGCCAGGGTTCCCTAAAGTCCAGCCTTGTTAGGTGGCTGCCCTCCAACCCAGCTGCCAACTGCAACTCCTGAAGTCCCGTTCTTGGGTGAGAGTCGTGCAGCCCAGAAGCAGCGAGTCACTCTAAAACAGCTGTTCCCTAAAGTCCAGCCTTGTTAGGTGGCTGCCCTCCAACCCAGCTGCCAACTGCAACTCCTGCAGTCCCGTTCTTGGGTGAGAGTCGTGCAGCCCAGAAGCAGCGAGTCACTCTAAAACAGCTGTTTAAATATATTTAACGATGAAATAAAAAATGCCCTTTCCATTAGAGCAGACCCCCAAAGCCTTCTTGGGAGAATCCCGGTAGGGTTGTTTATGTCACTGCATGTTAACACGATAGGACCACGTTAGCTTTTGTGACTTCACCCTCTGTTTGCCCTCCCTATTCTAAGCTCTTCTCAACTCAGAAGCACCCAGTGACTTCCTGTCCCCTTTGGTGATAAAGCCAAAGTCCTCACAATGTTCTAACCAGCGCTACCCAATGATGACAGAGATGGTCTAGACCAGCGCTGCCAAAGGGGGCAGTCACTTGCCACACATGGCCATGCCATGGAAGAAATTGTAAATGGAATTTTAATTAATTTGAATTCCAACAGCCGCACGTGCTGAGTGGCTACTGCACAGGGCAGTGTCTCTGCCCATCCCAGTGCCTGCTGAATGGAGGACGAGAGGCTGGGCGGTTGTCCCAAGCCCCACCATTCCCACCCCTGCCAGCTGCACCCGTTTCTACGGGGGTAGCAGGTGTCCTCTGCTGCCCCTGTCCTCTTGGCTTAGTCTCTGTGGTCAGGGTGTGGTCAGTCACATTGCCAGACGCGGGGTGGGGGGTGGCCTTCAACATCATCTCATGCTCCTAAACTCACTTGCCAGGATCTGGCAAGGGGCTGGGGAGCCAGTGCCACTTCCATAGGCTATCGCCAGATCCAGCCAACTTCCCTGAATTCTCCTTACAGATGTACATGGGCTCTGAGAAGTCAGTGCCTCCCCCAACTTCACGGAGCAGGAAACTGAGGCCTGAGAGAGAAGCCGACTGGCCCCAGGTCCAGGTGCAGGAGGTGGAGGAGTGGTCTCACTCTGGCACAGCAGGGTGCCTTCCAGACCCACCTTGGCTGCTAGCCTGCTGTGGGGTGTTGAGGAGACCCCCCAGGCAGGGCTTAGCTTCAGAACTGTATTGTGCACGTGTCTGGGCAGTGGGTGAGTGGACCCTCTGCTGGCCCAGCTCCAGGTCTGCTCTCCTGCCCATTCCAGTGGGGCCTGGTCTTTAGCAGTGGGGGCGTGTCTCTACTGGGGTCCTCGAGGGGGTAGTGGGCAGGGGCACAGGCGTCGGGCTCAGGCGGTACCATCCTTGCTCTGTTCTCCCCACTGGAGGCCATGAGGAGGCTGTCGCAGATGTGGACCGTGAGGAAGCGTCGGGGCATGTGCAGATATGAGATTCAGGCACTAGGAGTTGCTTGGCAGGTTTGGCGTTTCTACGGGGGTAGCAGGTGTCCTCTGCTGCTCCTGTCCTCTTGGCTTAAGTCTCTGTGGTCAGGGTGTGGTCAGTCACATTGCCAGACCCGGGGTGGGGGGTGGCCTTCAACATCATCTCATGCTCCTAAACTCACTTGCCAGGATCGGGCAAGGGGCTGGGGAGCCAGTGCCACTTCCATAGGCTATTGCCAGATCCAGCCAACTTCCCTGAATTCTCCTTACAGATGTACATGGGCTCTGAGAAGTCA